CTGTCTCGCCCACCTCCACCTCCGTCTCCGTTCTGTCTCGCCGCCCCCCGTTTGTTTCGCTCGTGCTGTGCTGCTCCACTCGCGTCCAATTCCGTCCAGTCACCTACGCCCTCCCCCCACTGCAAGGCAATTTGTGCATAGAATTTTGCTCTTGTTCACGAAAACCAGCGTTGATACATTAATCATGTTCAATTAATTTGATGACCTGTACTACAATAATACGCTCGTTAGATTATACAGAATTAATACTTTGTTTAATTCCATTATTAACAAGCTGTTGATCCGTTGGAACGCTTACATTCGTTTGGCGTCATTTCATTGTAGATTAGGCTAGAGTATAATCGCTGCGCCGTGATATCCTAGCGAGTGATTTTCCTTATGTTTTCGATTATCGGAACCAATTTAATTCGGCGCGCCCACCTTGGCCCAGCTCTAGAGCTGTTAAGCCTTTGGACAGGATCCTGCAGCCTGCTGATCTTCAAAACAACTTTGTCAATTCCTTTATTACGTAACTAATAGATAGAGTTGGGGGGGGGGCTGTGGATAATACAAATGCGTGGCATGAGAATTAAAGGTACTGTCGATGATATCTGGATCAGGTGATGTCACTCTCTGAAGGAATGTTCTGAAGATTAGCTTCTCATAGGCAAGGTAGACTTAAACGAGAAGTAGACGTAACATCTGCAAGGAACCTCTTGGGAATTTTAATTCTTGTCGATTAATCACATCGTACAACTCTACAATCAGAAATGTCGACAGTTTTTCCCTTTATATATAATACAATACCCTGCCTATACGAAGAAAGTGTTCGAAGATTTTGCTATAAACAATGTGTTATAGATATGGTCGAAATAAAAATGTAGAAAATCAGAGAGAAAATTAAGAATGCAAATTGAACTATCTAGTTGACCTGCAGAATTGTACCGACATTTTATTTATAACACATGATTGTTCTTTTATTTAATAAAGAAATGTCATTCACACACCGACAGTAAATAAGAAAGTTTCTACTAATGTTCTCGTTTTTGAGGAGAAAGATTTTAATTTGAACGGGAAACGATTAAAGCGGACGCGGCCAAAGGTATTTTCTAAACACATTTTTTCACGTAACACAAACATTTTAGTCTTTCGGATGGCAGAGATCGTTAAGGCAGTAGTGTCGTAGCGATCTCGAACTAGAGGATCGCGGGTTCGAGTCCCGCCTCGAGCATGGTTGTATTTGTGTTCGTCCTTTCACCCCCTATAATCACAATATCATGCCATCTTCTCAGTTACCATAACGTTAAATCCAATAGTGGTCGCTAATGACCTAAATGTTGATGCGACCTTAAAAAACTAAATAATTTTTGAAATGCGTCACTTTTCTTGTGCACCGACGATATATCGTTATTTTTCGTTTTGCTCAAAATACTTTAAAACACCTGCCGCAAAAATGTCAATATTAAACCGAAACAACAGACCATGATCCGCGTGCAATCTTTCCTTTCCAACACATCACTCATTCTTTAGGGCTAGATGAGTTTATCAATCGCTAATTGCCATAAGCGATTATATTTCTCTCAATCAGCAAGCATGAATCACCTGAGAAATGAGCTGGCGATTCAGAAAGATCTACACGATAAGTTAACTGAGTAAATTTAACTTAGCTTTAATTATTTACTTTAATTATGAATTAATTTAATTTGACCGCGTTTAATTTGAGTCAATCGCACCGACAATTTGACTGGCGTCAATCACGCATTTCCAAATCGTCAGCGTGGCCCCATGTCGATTTAGTATATAAAATACCCTTTAGTCCAGCCAACATAACATTACCAACACAATTACACCAAAATATACGTACGTCTTATCTTGATGCACTTCCCTCGCGGTACTACTACAGAAGTATTTCTTCTACTTAATGAAAAACGCCCATGCGTTCCATTTACGCTTTGGCTGTTCGACAAAACATACTGCCTTCCTGCATGACCTAGCCCTCTGATCTGAAGTCGTTGGTACTGAGAGTTTACAGGTATCAGGTATAAACCCATTGCGTTACTTGAACATTCTTTTGTAGTAATCTAGTAAAAACGCGACCTTTGTTTGACATTCAGGGTTAGACCACTTCCGGTCCACTAATATAGAAATAAGTCTTTCGACGCGTCACAGTCTTCCATTCATACTACGAAATTTCTCAAAATTACTTTTTTTACGGAACTAAAAGGATTTTTGGATGATTTACGGCACCTACAGAGATGATCAAAAGCTCATTCTATTCCTCTCCAATCTGTTGGCACAATTGTTAACAGATTCCTTCAATTATATTCTGAACGAATTTTAGAAAATTTTGAGTTTATATGGTTCTAAAAGCATCTGCATCTAAAAGCATTGGTGAAATACTGTGAATTACTACACTCCCTTTTCGCTTCAACGTTATTCCTTAGGACATGTTTCATTATACTGACGATCGTTAAATCTACTAATGTAAGGGAACAAGATATTAAAACATTCTTCCATCGATATTTTTTTATGCAATTCTACATTTCTGGAGATAGGCGAGATAGACGACGTTACCATTTTGAAAATTTCTTTTTGGTATGAATTTACCTAACTCGTATAAAAATGGTCATCAAGGCTGTACCTACCGCCGCAGAGGCCAAGCTCAGCCAGTAGTATATTATGCTCGTGATTTCAATACTACTTGTGGCAATAACCGTTGTGCTTCCGTGGTATGCCTTGAGCTGCTCAGTGCAGAGCACATTGTGCAAAGGATATTAAATATTTTGATCCTATGAAAAATAGGATATGCACGGTAAAATAAGAATAAATTTATCTAATTCTCTAATCTTTTATCACGTTCGTACATTTCAGTGCTGCTTTCACCACAGTTCTCTAGTGGTAATGTTGTCATCTGTGTGGAGAAGAGGTTTCATTGTGTCACTCTTTTCCACTGTTGGCATCTACTATGAAATCGCGTATAAATACTACACATCGGTGAAATACTGCCATCTCTATGACACATGTGAGGGAGACCTCATCCCATCCTCCTCTGAATATTCTATTCCGGAGCCTTCAAGAACCTTCGGGCATTCGTCCCCGACCGTATCGTTCCAAGAGGCGACCTCATCCGCGCTCTTCCGTTTTCCGTCGAGTCCTCTGCCCCGTCCCTTGGCCGCAGAGGTAGAACCTCGCGCCACCCCCTTCCGCCAGCATTAGCCGAGTATTTTTAAAACAGCTGTTATCCGTACGCGTCGGGGCACCTATAAATTTGTCGACTCTGGCCAACGTTCGATCAACGTCACACGATTTATGGCACTTCTTCGCAAAAGCCAGAAATAACTGCCGAGGATGGCGACGGCGGTGCAGTGGTGGACATAAAAAAATGCTGCGCAAGGTCTACATATCGCTTTCGACTCGAGCTGTAATTCCGACTGCAACTGACGTTTGTGCAATCCACACGAGGTCGAATGCGATTGGCCTCACAGCACATAAGCAACCAGAACATCAACAAAAGATCTTCATCTGCTTTGTAGCGTAGTACAGAGAAAGTTATGCTGCAAAAAGTCTCCGCCGAGATTTTGAAGGAAATACTAAGTTTGGTGTGTTTTTTAATGTTCGTCTGTCACATTAACAAATGGAGAATGGTTATTTACTAAAATAATGTATTACTTTATTTTATTTTTAAAGTAATACTTCGCGAGTTAACTATTTTTACGTGATTCTTTTTGTTTAATTTAAATCTGATGTTATATAATTATTTCACTGATGTTGTTAATGAAGTACTATATTCACAATTTTATTAACTGAACGATGTACATAAAATAAACATTTTGGAAAAGTGTTCACTTACTAAAACACTGACACACTGATTTCCCATACATCGTGCTCGCGAGAAACAAGCAGACACAAAAATTACATTTTATAACAGAGGCGAATCCATGAAATATTTCAGGGATAGATAATTAGAGTTTCGAACCCTCATAAATTTCTTTCAAAATGGTGTAATTTAGGCGATCCATTACAACGTATATCCTAAAATATTTTTTCTTGAAAAATCGTCTTTGTTGTCTTTAGGAATGTAAAGGGATTATTATGAAATAATTGTTTGGACTGAATTGAGTGAAATAAAAAGAAATGTAATCTAGGAGGAATGGCTTTCATATTATTTGCAACCGTTTTATAATAGTATCTGCTTCGTCTACTCTGAACATTTGTTGACGATCCGCAAGGGCAATGTTCTGACCTCAAACGAAATGCGCTAGGATTCCTTTTCGTAAGTTGCATATGAATTAGAATTATTATTGAATATGTGTCAGTACATGGCGATGTTGATGTGCTTGAACCGACACTGAATATAATTTCTCCCATTCCCTTGATAAGACCATATAAAAGCGGAACAAACCAGCTATTTACTTCTATCACTGTAAACATGCACTTCCCCAATTTGATACTTGCAAATACGATAGAATGAAGGCTAAAACGTTATGTCATCTCTTGTTTGGTAATACAGTTGCATTACAATATTCCTTTCCATCGTATGATAGATAAGTCGAGTTTGAAGTGGTTTTCCTAGCCTTGATTAGGCTGCTATGAACTGGTTACTAATAAAATAATGTTATAGTTTATTACTGTTTATCAATCTGAAACAGAACACGTTTTGGTTTTTAATAGCGGGCCGTTTGAACACCCCGCTATGAACAAATATAACGCATTTTTACACAAATTTAATTTATTAAACTTAAGAAGCATGGTAATAAATAAATGGTGTAATTCTAAAATAAGTCCACGTAAACATGTTGAATTGTCATTCAAATTGCTATCAGTCACTCATTTCATTGTTACATATTACGTTTTCTTGTATAGACATGGATGCTTCTTGAATAGTAGTAGTAGTACTACTACTACTACTACTAGTTGAAGTAATAACTGATGTACTAGAACACACAACGCTAACATCAAACGATAACATTTTGAGGATGCAATGGAAATATTTAAATATCTTTCGATAATGGACGCAGATAACCTAAAAGTAGCGTTTCATTTACGTATTTTTTCATTCATTTCAGTTTTTTCCATTCCACTCTCAAATTCACCATACTCATTTTCATATTTTTTTGGATATTTTTTCTGGGACAAACTATCGGTAGCTTTTTTAAGCGTTTTCGAGATTTTCCCCACGAACTTCTATACAAATATTCTATTTTATACTGAAAAACTTGTTATAGATTTTTTTGGTACGAGAATGCAGTAGTAATTAGATACATACTCTGTTTTTTATAACTGACGCCATATTGACAAATGTCACTTATAATGAACCTTTTCACTTCTGATGCAAAACAAATTAAAATATTTTTCAAATTCTCGTTAGGTTCAGCAACGAACTAGTAAACCATACGGTTTTGAATGCACCATTGGCTTTATTTTATGTTTTAACCAATCAGGGGACATCAAACTCCTCGGACCGAAAGACATTCAGGTTTCGAAGTCGCTCTTGGGGGAAATCATCTATTTAACACCTTAGATTCGTAACTAACCATTGTGTACATAATAAAAATAAATAATACTGAAAGAAGGCTTTGATTTACTTCTCTAAAGCTAAAATTTACAACTTCCGTTGAATAGAAATTGAATGCTATATCGATAAAACTGCAATCCTTTTCAAGACGAACCCAAGAAAATTCAGTATTAAACATTTTGAGTTCAAATTGGGTATATCCAACCGAAACTCGATTTTTATAACCTTCATGATTCTTCTCGTTGCTGCAACAATCCGCGCTGTGCTTCAGTATTGCATCGTAAGTGAATAGGATGTTACACCATTTAAGGAAAATTAAAATCGTGCGAGGGTTCTCTTGTTTTGTGTCTTCCCGATAAATAGAACTCATTATTCAAAAACACTATCAGACTGCAATAATCGTACAACTTGGAGTAGTAGGCGCTCAAGATAAGACCATTTCAAAAACAAATCCATAAAGGCACAGCTGTGAAGGGTTATATATTAGAATTTATACCAATGGTCCGTCGTTTAAAGACAATGGCTGTGGTGTTATGTGAAGTTTCCCCCAAGGAAATTCGCACATTTCATTCGACTGATAGGAAGACTGTATCGTAAATTTAAAAGACCGTTTGGCAAAACAATCGTAATAAATATTTTTTTTAACTCTTGATAGTGAAGTATGTTTTCTTGATACTACTATATATCACAAAGAAACACAATGCTAGTGGGGTTGAAATCGATCGCACAAAACATTTTACATGAATAATTAATTCTTCTATCGCTTTTCTGTTATAAAATAGATTAGCTACAGAAAGCAGTTTAATAATAGTAATTGGAATTAATAACTTTCAAAATACGTATTTTAAGTATAAAATGCTGTTGATGTTCCGGTAAATAAGGGGAAATGAAACGGGTAAATAATGGACGTTTCGATGATACTGAAGTTTTGAAACTATGTTAACCTGAACGGCATTTGCGAAACAACATACTGATTCTTTTATCCATTTTTAGGTAACGGAATTTGATGACCTAAATCATTGCTAAAATGATCAATAAAATGCTTTAAAAAGTCCTTAAAAACAAAGAAAAATTACGTAATTTTTTTTATGAAAACCACTTCAGATGAACAACTCAAGCTATTGGATATGTTACTGATGTAATCGAGGATTCTTACTTTTGTTAAAGTGAACTCAGTTTACAAACGCTTGGTTTGGACTGTTCTTAAAGAGGAAATCTCGGCCTTATATTTATCGCGAAATTGGCCGAATTGACAATGGCGCCGATAGGCGTCACAGGAACCTCAGATTACAAAGTACTCACAACGGCTGACAATACAATATATGAGCAATGAAATCGAATAGGCTACTCAAGAATTCTGTGGTGAACATTTGTTGCACCTCGTAAAAATTGTTCGAAGCAAGTACCATTGAAACAATATCGACCCACGAAATCGACGAAAAATGCATTCAAAATGACGCAAAAACGTAAAAAAATGACTTGAAATGAATCAATGAAACCGACGAAACATGCAAGAAAATTACGTATAAAAATGGATCATTTTGTTTTGTCATAACATAAAATTAATATCAATTCAGAAAGGCATTGTTTTAAAATGAAAAGAAAAACATGACATTTCATTAATATCCACCCCTACTCATTTCTTTTCATTACTCATTGATTTGATGAATTAAGGTCGGCAGAAGTTGATGCGGTGAGACAGAAGTACTTTGATTTCTTTATTGCACCCACAGATATTTTGTACGCTTGAGCATCGACTCACTTTTAGCACCATTGCTAAAAATTTAACTTGTATTACTTGCGCAACGTTTCGTGAACGATGACCTTGCTTCCCCCTCTCTGACACAATAAACAGTTGAAAGCAAAAGCTCGCAGCGAGCACTGATGACAACATTCCAAACTCATCTGCACTGGCGCAAAATAGAAACTATTTTCTGTCCGTGATTTTCTTAAAAAAATCTACAGAAATGACCGAAGAAGGTGAAGATCCATCACAGGAGATACTTCGAACTCCTGAGAAAGTTGGAACGCAAATTTTTGAGAAAGTTACGAAGGCATAACTGGGCTCTGAAGGCTTCTTCAGAGGCCGGCATTGCTTCATAAAATATAGTGGTCAATTTCGTAACTGATATCCGCATCTCTCCAATTCGAATATTCGCATCTCTCCAATCCATTGTTCAAGAAAAGTTGCGCGAGTAATACCACGCTTCACACGTACCAAAAGAACATCTTTTATTACAAGGTGTATAAAACGATAATTTATTCACGTATTTTTCATGAGAACAGTAGCCGAAATGTCGTACCCATAAACGTCAAACATGTTTTTGAAGCAATATATGTAGTCCCAAAATATAAATATTCATGTACAAATTCCAACACTTTTTCTAAAATGTCTCGTGATAGAGCAAAATAAAGTCACGTTCGTAATATTTTGCTGTACAATTGAAACTAAACATCATACTTGAACAACGCGCATCGTATTAGACAACCTTGTGTGATAAATGTTGCCAAGCAGTATAATCGGTCACTCATCCAAGATGTCCTTTAGACGAATTATGATTTTGTAGGAGTGATAATTTGCGTGATGAAATCTTTTATTTTCGTATCACTGTCCTTTAGAGGGGCGTGGCTTGCATGGTGTTGGCGAATCCAATCAATTTACAACACAACACGCCACAAACCAACACGTTTAAAAATGGAGCAAGCAGAACTACAGGGAAAAAAATTTACAAAATTCTAAGAATTCTAGTTGTAAACCATAATGGCATAGAAAATTTCTCTTCGTGAATTAAGAAGACCGTTATAATATAATTTTGCAGTTACAATCGAGAAATGATACTTCAGAAACCATTTTTTTGCGCTTTAAGGAAGGAGTTTAATTTAGGTGCCTCATTAATTTTCAGGTTTGTAAACAGAATAATGTGTATAACGAGTAATTACCCGGCCTTTCCCTACTAACATAAGTAATTGTGCTATCTCCTACTACGACCAGAAGATCTTATTGTCTGACCCAGCGATCACGGATTTTCGGCCTTTAGCTACAGCGGAGGAGAATTCTAGCGATCGGTTGCTCTGATTTATATTTTTCTGTGGTTTCTCCGATTATTTCCAAGTAAATGGCAGGGCAGTAGGCTACCAAACGGGCCACGGACCGCACACCATCTTTCCTTTTTTTCCTTATTCTATCCTCTTCCCCCTCCTCTCATACTTGTACATACTCATACATGTACTACTCAACCGAAAATGCTCGAAGTCCAGATGGACAGGCGGGAGAAAGCTTTTCTTCCTTTTTGGGCATGTCAACAAGACATAGCTTTCCATAGCTTTCCGCTTTATCGTCTAAACCGGTTTTCAAAAACTAAAAGTTATTAAACGCATTTTGTAGGAAAAGTCAACTTCAATTTAAAAAATAAAAGCTATTTCGATAAAACGCCTAGTTTTAGAGATATAAACAAAAAACTAAAAAGTTTAATGTTTAATTTTTGGTGATTTTCTCCGTGAAGCCGATCCTTCCCGCGGAAGCAAATCTCAAATTTAAATTCAGCGCCCTCGCCCAAAACAGACTTACAGATCCGGATCTGATATTGACATGACTATCATGTGAAAACTCACACTCAACACTCATGTTCGCGTTAATAACGAAAGGTTGACTATTAACGAGTTGACTGATGCAGTTGGTCTTGAAAATGACGTAATTAACAAATGACGGCAAATATACATTCTTGTAATTTTGTATATTTAATTAAGTAATAATGTTTAAGATATTATTAAAATTGAATATTTTTATTATAAAAACGGTTAGTAATAAGTACAAGTGATAATTTCTAGGGCTCTTTACTTTTAATTTAAAAAAAATCACGAAATTTGGTAGAGAAAAACCTCAAAAGTTTTTCTAAATGAATCCCCTGAGTGTTATAAATTCATAGACTAGTGAAAACCCGTTACAATTGGATGGTAACTGAAAAGAAATCCAATGAAGTGACTGTTTTATAAACTGAAGAATGTTTAGAATTTTTCTTGTCTTCCCCATTTGCTTATGTCCCAAATATAAATAACCGATATTTCAGTTTAAATGAAAATACATTTGATTTCAAAATATTTGTTTGAATTATAACAATCATTGATCTCTAATTGTTCTCGAAGCAATGGCTCAGAAGGATTGTATTCAGTCAAATACACTTGGGGGCATACGAAACGTTAAGCGGATCACACAACGTGATTATTCAAGTATAATGTAGAAAATTCTGTAGCAAGCTTCATGTAGACTCGTATAGGAGACCTCAAAGTGAATAAAACATCAATTTTCTGTTGTAACCTCACACCCACAAAACCTCACACCCACAAAACCTCACACCCACAAAACCTCACACCCACAGACCTGCCCGCGGAAACAAAACTACGTTCGATTGCAACTCGCAGAACAAAATTTTGTTATTGAAATTTAGCGATTATACAATAAAATCTGTGAAAAATATTACTCTAAAACACATCTGAAGACTACTTTTTATTTAAAGCATAAATCGTGAAATTTGGTTTAATAGAGAGCTCAATTTACGGTCTTAACGAAAACTGTTAGTGTTTTTAATATAAAAATGTAAGGATAAGGGCCCCCTTTCAACATTTTCAAGAGGATCCCCCTAACATTGCCCCCATTGCCCAAAAACGAATGGTAGTTAGACCTTTTGATGATATTGTATTCATAGTCTCGGTTCTTTCAAAATACAAATGTATTATTTTTCCTGGTTCGCATGTCCTTGATCTACTTTGCATACTTGTGTTGCCTGTTGTACGATCTTTTCAAACTAGATGGAACAATGAAATAATCCTTTCATTAAGCTAATCGTCCGTAATGGATGGCCGTAATGGATTATCTTTGAAGGCGTGTATTTCCCCTCTTTTCTGGCGATAAGTTCTAGTATAGAGGTTTCGTTTTAGTGACAAGGGGGCTTCTAATATACACATAATATAACTGTTCCTCCCAATCGAAATGGGAGACGCTCGTGTCCGAACCAAATGTTATCTGATTCTCCCACTCAAAGACTCATCATCGACCTGTCTGAACGCTATTGGTTCTCTGGGCTGAACTTTTCCTACGAAAGTCATCTGTAAGACGATGCAACCTGTTGCTACGTCGCTATCGAGAAATAACACATCACAGCGAAATCAATATTCAAAGTAGTTGTGTAATGGTGTTGATAACATTTGTTTCATCAATCAGTTTTATAAAACTGTTTATAATTAGTACGTCAAATTATCGAAAAAATAAAACTTTTTGAAGTATTATTTACTCATATTTCTTAAAACTTACAAAGACGTATCATTTTTACTGGTTTATAAAATATTTTATTATTATTTGCAACATTATCATGTGATATATTTTGACAACTGGATTACATTAAGGTGTCGGATTCGAAACTCTCGATGAACGCCATGCAGTAATCCATGGTCATGAAGTATTTTCTCCTATTTGATTGAAGGGATCCAGAGGAAGTAAAATAACTTCACGTATTCATTAATCCCATTTCCCATTCATTACGTAATGGGAAAATGAGCATTGTGGAACATTCATTACTATAGATTCCTTCTTTTCAAT